CCACTTTGTCACGTCCCACAAGTGTCTTACGTTTGAAAAACATCACCCACAGCTTGCCTGTTACAAGGAAATGATGATTATTCCTACATCCTCTCTTGATCCCTCACATCATACACTTTCAGTAGTTTAACAAAGCTATCCTTCAGGTATTTAAAAAGGAATTGCAGACTAGCTATCAGTGCAGTGATGTTCAAATTTAATTTAGTGATAATTAACGCATAGAATGCCAGCACCTTCAGTTATGTCTGCCATGATCATGCCGTCTACATAACTAATTGCATGTGTTAACTTGTTATTTGACTGAAATGGGCTCAGCAAAGATCTAACAGGCCAGCATTTCAATTGAAACGTTGGATTTCTGGGTGTCTCCAATTCCATGACACGTCACTCAAAAACCAATTATTTCGTGCCTTGTTTCTGACATGTTTGAAGGTGTTCAGCCGGGCGGAAATAATAGAAATTTAACTATGTATGGAAATTTTGATATGCATGGAAGTTTCATCTTGCGTGAAGATGATCTTTATGTAGTGCAGTGGACTGGAACTACCAAAGACAGAAGTCTATTAGACAACTGACGTTGCATCCATTCTTAAGCATCTGATGTTGAGCTCTGTGGGGAAAAAGAAGTATTAGTCGTAAATGATGAGAAAACACTGTGGGATCAATTTCACGGATCCCAGGTAATTGAGTTATCCAAGGTGTCGAAAGTGTAGTATATGATGGATGTAACTTTTTCCGTGAAATCCTCTATCTTCTAGGGAAGGCTTCTGGCACCAAATCTGTGTATAGCTTGCAGGGTTAGGCAGCTCTGAGGAATTCGAAGGCAAGAATGAAACCTATGCCGGGGTTATACTCCTTTTGAGTTGATACTCCATAATTATATCATAATGCCAGAGAAATATTATTTAACCTACTGTACTATGTATGTATGAAGTATGTGTTTCTGCAAATAAACCAGTCTATAATATAATATAATATATACGCTACGCAAGTACCTCAAGGGAGGATTCTGGCACCAAATCTGTATACTAGTATAGCTTGCAGGGTTAGACAGCTCTTAGGAGTTTGAAGGCCAGACTATCTACGATGAAACCTAAAAGTATATACTCCTTTTGAGTTAATCATAATACCAGAAAAATATACACTATGTACAACTATATACAACTACCTCAAGGAAGGCTTCTGGCTCCAAATCTGTGTATAGCTGGCAGGTTTAGGCATCTCTGAGAAGTTTGAAGGCAAGACTATCTAGGACGAAACCCATGTATACTCCTTTTGAGTTCACAATCCATAATATCATAATACCAGAAAAATATATGCTACGCAACTACCTAAAGGGAGGCTTGTGGCAACAAATCTGTATATAGCTTGTAGGGTTAGGCAGCTTTTAGGAACTTGAATGCTAGACTATCTAGAATAAAACCTAGTTTAGTTGACGCTCTATAATATTGTAATGCCGGAAAAATATACGCTATGCATCTACCTCAACAGTCAACTTCTTATAAGTCATAACTTTACAGAAATTGCTTGAGGGGCTAGCACACTTAACCCAAGTCCTACAAACGTCGGACTTGTGCGGCATCAGGAGATTTAAACCATAGCAATAGATGAAGACTGCCCACTCCATCTTCCTAGTGGCTGTCTTAAGTGCTATTCCATGAGAAGTAAAGTAAATTGAAAGCTGACCCAAGCCCTTTTCATGGTGCCATGAATACCGTTGATAGGGAGCTTGTCTTCCAGTCCTTTCCAGAGTTTAAGTAAATGGACACGACAGTATATCAGGGCATAAGACAAACACTGGCGTTTGTGTGTGTGTGATGAAAGACCCTTCTCTAGCACAGTGAAATGTGACTGTACTGGTGATCTGGTTTTAGAGAAGCTAAGTCTAACCAAATGTCAAACCTCCGTGAATAGTTTCACCAGGTTGGTAAGTCACTGAGTAAAGACACTTCTATACGTTTGGAACCACTTTGTGGATTCTGTTCCTAGTTTTCTGTAACTTTTAAATACGTGTAACTGACGACCAAAATGTTGGCTAAATAAAAGACTTGGTTGTGTGTGTAAAAAGACTGAGACTCTTTACAAATGTCAAACCCATCCAACTCAGTTGCACACTCAGAAAGTTGTAAACCATCAGCGCAGTACTTGTAAATCCTACTTCTACCCCTATCTTATCTGATTGTTTACTTACAAACATTGCCTAATGCAAGAAAGATTCTATCTCTACTAGCTACTTTCAAATTGGAAGCACTTCAGGAAAAGCTTTCATGAGTAAATTGCCTTCCAAAGTAAGACGGATATGTCCTTGAACAATGATTGATGTACAACTCTGTCCTTGGTATGTTTGAACCTCTCAAAAATATTGTCATGTGGAAAACTTAACCACCAATTTTGCCAGAGGCGTACTCTATGCCTCAATTTTTACTTTGCAACAAGGGAGTGATGTATTTCAAGTCTTAGCTTGTACAGAATGGTGGCTGAGGACTTACGACTTCATCTTAAATGCATGCTGAAGTAGGACATTGAACCCTTGAAAACTAAAATTAGCTGCAAGTCACAGCAAGTAGCTGGAAAGACAGCTGTAATGAGAGGCAAAATGAGATCTGATAAAGGGATTGCCTTCGACACATTCGACAAACTAAATGGGGAAGCGTTTAGGGAGTGTATATCAGATACTGGAACTGACAGGAATATTGCTTTTACTGAGTACTGTGCAAGTAATGATTCTCCGCTCAGTTGTTTGGCCTTGAACGAGAGATGGGGGCCAAGATAGAAGTTTGGGGGGATTTTTATAACAGTTGTAAGCATAAATCTTACTGCAGCAATTATGTGTGCAGGTTGAAAGGCAGGGCTGGAAATACTGGGTGCATGTGTACCTTAGTGCACCCAAATTTGGAGCTATGCACACAGTTCTTTTCTGTGGGTGCACCAGTGCACCCAAATATTTCTGTAGGTTTACGTATGAAAAGATGTTTAAATGTGTAGTAGTATACAGCATTTTCTTAACATCTAAGAGTCAGAAAATAATAAAATCATTGAAACATAATAGTTTTTGCTGACATTCTACTTATTTCATTTTATATGGTGCACCCAAGAAAAATTTTGTGCACACCAGTGCACCTATTCCCAAAAATGAATTTCGAGCCCCGTTAAAAGGGCATCCATGCGTCTTCTTGCAAGTTTATTGGTTTCAGGAAATGTCTGCATTAAATGACAGTGATTCTTTCTACCTCGAGAGAGTTAAAGTGTTGAAGAGGGCCAATTGAACCTAAGGCAGTATACCGTCAGACCTTGGTTAACCCTAGCCTACCTTTACACTCCAAGGCCCAGCTGGTCTTTACCTGGTATTTGACCACGGCCACAGACTGTGTTGTTAGCATTCAGATTCCTGGGGTCACAGTGGGACCAAAAGTTACAATGAACAATTATGAAGAAATCAACCCCAGACCAAAGCACAGAGGGCCAATAATGCATAATTAAAGACCTGTTCATCTCCCACTTAGCCGGCTAATTGTAGGTAACCTTAGTGTCCATGCAGTAACTGATGGAAAAAGGTTGCCACTGATAGGGTAAAGACTCATACTGATGGATTGCTCTGTTTTTGTCTTGTTAACCTTCTCCCTGCTGCCTTGTGTATTAACCAGTGTAAATTTGATGCAACAGGCAAGCCTCAGCTGGGAGAAGGTTAAGGAAAAATCCCACTGGATACAACTTAGCAGGGAGAGTTAAGGGTTAAGAAAAATACCACTGGATACAGTTTAGCCGGGAGAGGGTTAAGAAAAAATCTCAATGAATACAGCACCTGATTCTCTGGCATTTAGTGACTGTAAGTCACAAATAGTCATAGTGTTATTGAAGTGATGTCCAGCTCTACACCGTAAAATCAGCACCAAGGACAAAGACATGTTAGCAAAATTTTGAATTTTTGATAATGCTGGCCCCCCCAAACTAATAATGATAAACAGACAAGAAAGAAAATAATGCAAGAGCAATTTTGAGTCACTTTTTGTTTATCTTTCATTTATATTTAAAATGATTAATGATTATGGAAAAAATTACGTAGCAAAACTTACGTAGCATGCTATTGGACAAAAGTTCAAGCACAGTCTCTAAGTTTAGCAGTTACAACACAGTTTGTGTTATGTGTTGCCATTTGGAAGAAGACACCTGTCGCATGCAGCAGCTACAACTCAGTCCCTTGTCGCCTTGACCTTCAAAATCTGCCTACGAAGTGTAAAATCTATTTCTCGGATCACCGGGTCCCGCACTGCCGGAGTCGGGGTGCATTGATTTTCCACCGGCAAATGTCAGAACCAGTTCACTCCTCTTCTTTTCATTAAACCCCAAAAGGCATCTATTATGGCTCCATTTGCACAGACTTCAGGCTCAGTGTTAGAAATACCCCCCTGCAGTCTGCATTTTGCAGAGGCATTTTCATTTAATTGCAAAAGGCAAACTAAGCAACCTGCAATGTTGCAGACTGAAAAAATCAGGCTAGGGGTTTAAAATGGTTTTGGATGTAGTACTACATTTGTATCCCTATAATATGCCAATAGACTATGAAAGGTTCAGTTTGCTTTTGACTTTTTCGTTTCACATTGATTTCACACTGAAAGTTTGACATCACCACCATAAAATCAGCACCAAGGACAGAGATATGTTTGCAAAACTTCGAATAAAGCTGGCAACCCCTTCCAAAGATCTGAATAATCATAACAAAAAATGTTTTGACAGTTATAAGACAAAATAGATACATTGTACATGCAATTGTAAATGTATTGTATTGTAGTGTACAAATTATAAATTATATACATTGATGAAGGTTAGACATCCAGATAAAACAATATATTCAAAGACAATTCAAACTCTACTACCGAATAAATTACGGCTGGAAGTTATCTCATTTATTTATCCAGTAGTAGAGTTTGAACTGTCTTCGAATATGTATTATATAACATAATATTTTATATAATATCCTTGTGTTCTCTGTGACATTACAGATGTGCCAAAAGATTCAGCCAGACGTCAGCGAACCGGCGGCGAGAGATGACGTCCATGCCGGCACCCCCCCACCTGTTCCTCCATGACTTCCTACAGAAGAGGAAGGAGAAGAAGGCCCACCCACCCGTGGATTTAAAAGTAGGGAAAGCTGTAAGTGCATGCGAGGGCATGAATGCCGCAGAATGCGTATTACTAAACAAACCATTTCATGTATGCAATCACAACCAAAAATTCGAAACGTATGAAGTGTTTAGTAGCATGAATGTTCATCTGAGTTGGTAAAATACATGAAGAAAATTAAGCTGTTCTCCAACTCAAAAAGTTCTGCTGACGTCACACATGGCTAAAAGTCACGTGTTCACAGCACTTGGGTCATCAAGCTGATGAAGAGATGAGCGATTCAGTCAAAAATTTCTTGTGAGTTAATTTCTTTTTGAGGTGGAGAACAGTTTTATTTTCTTCACATATGAAGTGTTTAGCATGGTCTTAAAGCATGAGCCCTTTTCTAGCATATTTTGAATGTCACTCACAACTGCACTCTATCTGCATGCTTTCGGTGAGGAAAATATTTTAATACCAGTCTGGTATCATACATGTAATTTTTCCTTTATGCACACTCTTCCTATTGGAAAATGTTTAGTCCCAGCTCTGTCCAAATTTTGTCGAAGTTTGTACTTGCATGTCACAACTTGAGCTGTCTGATGTTTGGATCCTGTAGTCTGCCTATTCTGTGTAGCCCCTTTCCACTTTGCTCTTTTCCCTGCCTTGTCAATACCTGATTTGTATACCAACCTTTGTTTCAGGGTTTCATCATTGTACACTAAGTCATACTGTAACCAACTTTGTCTTTATACCTTTAGCTAATAGTGTCAATATATGATAATTGCACAGAAAAACTTTTTTCAGTCTGCTTTGTCACTTTTTTCAAAACAACTGTCTGTTGTAATGTAACAGCTACTTAACGATATCTGTATTTCTCTTCCTTCAACATTCAATGGGGAAGACTGCATTGTGTCACAGTATAAAGTTTCTCTTGTTTTTCTCTCTTCTCTTGCCCTTATATTTTTTGTTTTATTCTTCTACAACCCACCCCACCCCACCCCTGTTGCTGCCATGGTAAGGACCTCCAGTATGGCATGGTATCACCTGTGTGTTCTATTAGATGTTGTGTCATTTCATTCATTAACAAAGATTGGTGTGGGATGGCCTAAATATTAATTTTGTAATCTTGAGGAATTTTCCTGTGAAACTTCATAAAGAAAAATCAATAGTACATTATGTATATTTAGCAACAAATTAGTCTTTTAATTACTATGGCAAGATTTATTGTACAATAATATATGTACCTTTCTCCAATTGCATCTCGTGAATAGTCAGCGCCTGAGGCTAATACATTTATGGCTTTAATACCAACTGCTCAGAAAACATTTCGTAACAAATGCATACTTTAGAAACATTGACTAAATATTAAGTAGATTAGAATCAAGACTGTGTGTGTACTACTAGTAAGTAATACAATTTAGTATGTATCTTACACCAATCTACCTGCATGTGTAGCAGGACTTTTGCATTGATGTTTTGTATGATGTTGCATGTGTTTGTATCATAGACAATTCCTTCCTAACACACATAATATGCATCCATCTCATGTCTGTTGTGTTGCTGTTGCACGCATCACTGTTTCTAAAGTGTGCAAATGTCCCTAGAAGCAGAAACAGTCCTAAATGTGTTTTGTCACAGACTCATAGATTTTGGAAACAATTTGTCAAAACTTCCATATTTCGCATGTTTTGACACCACACAATTGAAAAAAAATTGATCCTGAAAGCATGCAGAAACTGAAATGCCTTTCCTATTTCTGTTTATTTGACAAGTTTAAATGTAGACTAAGTTTCTTTTTTCTCTTCACAGTGTGTGGACATGTGGAAACAGCGATCACTCAACCTAAGTGCACCGTCCCATGTTGAGGTATTGTAACATTATTTTATGTACACCAGCTATATTTGCAAAAAAAGAGAGATTTGCAAAATATTTTAAGTAACTCTTACAGTCTGAGATTATGTCTTGAATAAGTACTCTGTCTTGTTTTTGGTGCCTTGAATATATCGAAGCTGTTAGTTTTATCCCTCAGAGTCACCAATTAATAAGAATTATAGCTACAACAGTATCCTTGTTTTATCAATCTGAAACTTGTAGTTTTACGGGTTTCAACTAAACTTTTTATGGAGACAGACGATGTGATAAACTCTGGCTACAAAACCCAAAAGTCGGTGTCAAATCGCTGAGCGTGCGATGTGAACTGTAAAAGTACTTCATCCGTCACTGCCATGCGTGCCTCAGTCCCTGTCATGTTCACGCACGAAACCTGTCCACAATCTTCAACACGAGTACAGCCGGGGGAATAGCGGGGAGGGGAAACATGCGGTGCCGTAGATTGAATCGGATGGACGTGGTGATACCCGACGTTGTAGTCCCCACCTGAACCTATCATCAGGTCATACCGCAGACCTAACATGTATCTTCTCTCCCCTGCACTTGGCTTTTGTGGGAGAAGTATTAAAGACAACCCCCCGGGGAAATCATTTCTACGAAACATCCTCCCCAACCATGTGGAGAAGATTGGTGCACACCCTTTAAAATGCGGGCTCTTGTAAAGGGTCAAGAGGAATGGGAAATTACACTGCCAATAATTGCTGACCCCTCGACCTTCGCCGGCGTTACAAAAGACTTCAACCCACCGTGAGAGAAAACACGGCCCAATTAGGGGGATATTTCAGTAAAATATAGCTCGCAAGCGAGGAATTTTCGACGTGTACATGTATCTCATGTTGTTCTCGTGTACTGTCTTTACAGGTGGAGAATTATGCGTCTGCGCTGGAGAGACCCAAATCAACGAGCGACAACACTCCGGTGAGGGTTCTTGATGCATGCCATGCCTCTGACTCTTGACTCCAAACCTTGAGCGTTAACCGGGAGAAGTTGAACGGATGTGAAGGATTAATGGACTGCTGATGCTTCTGCCTTCTCCCCGTGTCACGACCGTTTGTACAGTTGCACCTACAAAGTTGTGATAATCTGTTCTTGCCACAAAGCATCAGCATCCCTGACCATCCCTGTCCTCTCTTAAAACTTACTTCAGTACAATGACCTTGTGCAGCTAACGTTATATCATGTTATGTGGCCAAAGTTTGGCCCAAACAACATTGCAAGGTTGCCAACATGCAATTTTGTATATGCCATGGGTTTAGGTCCGGACTCGTAAGAACCTAAACCTCTGGACTTGAATCTGGACCTGAACCTAAATGTTGGTTTGGGTACACAGCACAACACATGATACAATTTCAATTTCAATTTACTTATATTTAACCAGTAATTACAGCTCAGGCCATTTTTGGCCTGCTTTTCAGGTAATCCTGGATACACATAAAAATACACACAACAAATACACAGTACATAAACAATTAATTTAGTAATTACAACATCCTAAACATCAGCAGTGTCAAGTCCTGCACCTAATGATCTGTTTAAAAGCCCTGAGAAGTCCTGCTCCTAATGATCTGTTTAAAAGTCCTAAAAAATACATGTTAACTGTGTCCCAACTCCCAGATCACAGTAGAAGAAGTTGTACTGGAGGCAGAGAGGAGCAACAACAAGATCCTGCACAGCCGTGTGACAATTCAGCAGCGACCCACAGACAACTTCTACCAGGGTGAGCTGTACGTGGACAGGGACCACCAACCAGGGGACAGCAAGAGGGAACATGGCACATCCTGCAAGTATGTCAGACTCTTGATACGTTTGTGAAGATTAGTCATCCAGGGTTGTATCAATAAAATAGTGTTTCAGACTTTATCACTGGATATATTTCATCAGAAAAATGTAATAATGAATAACTGATGAAGAGTGTTGGACAGACACTTTAAACATGAGTGGGAAAGTGTGAAACACTGATTTTATTTATTCAGACTCTGTTTCTTTGATAAAACTGGAATCACAAATCATCTAGCCTCTATATATGTTGGACTTTCTCTCTCTCTCACACATGAAATGTTGCCTCTTTGTGTCTTCTATGAATACTTTCATGGCCATTGCTCTTATCATTTCACTCAATTCCTGTTCCTCATCCATCTCTCTATTCTACACAGCTGCATTCTTTTCAAGGACTGCAAAAATTATAGTCAACAACTTTCTCCCTGTGACTATCTTCACTGCCCTCTCCTAGTATAGTCGCCTATACCTCCCACCAGCTTAGTTCAGGTCAGTTCCACAAATTGGAAGAAAAAAAGTTACAATTATTGTACAATTTTATGTACTAGACAGACCTTGGATACCTCTACTGTAGTACTCCCAACAGTTAGACATTTCTGACTCGGTGAATTTTCACACTTTTGCAGCTTACTTTTTAAGCCACAGTTGGTACTGCAACTGTAATCCCCTGAGGTCCCTCGGCACTCGTTACATAAGCGCGAGGCACTTACACAGGGCTGTATTGCTTGCAACAAGATGAGTAAGATGTAGCATTGACACCATCCTTAGTGGAGCTGTAATGTAGAGGGATTTCTACAGCAGTAAACTAAGTTACAGCATGGAGTTGTCAAGGGACAGAGCTGCAAAGTGCTTTACTCCAAAGTGTAGAAGTTTTGACCAAGAAATGTCTTAATGTGTCCCTCTGTGGCCTATACCTCACTGGGAGCAAAGATCCCGGTATATAAAAACACAATCTATGGCATTAATTCACTTTCAGTGCATTTTGTATCACCACAATTGTGTTAACTGAGAAAAGTGAATCCTGTTCCCCAGGCAAAACATGACAGTATTGATGGATGAATAGAAGCATTGCTTTGAAGTGATGCAGTACTTAAGAGTCTTAAAGATACTGTATGCCAAATGAGAGGCTTAACTACTGAATACTTAGAAAGCACAGTATGAGCTGGCATAGTGACTGGCTCTGTGTTTAGGCCACACCAATTTAATTTGTTGGTTCTCAGATTTTTTCAGAAAAAATATGAAGCGACAGGGCGAAAAAAAATAAGGCCACACCAAGTAAATTTTATGGATGACGTCCGCGCGCGCATTGATTTTGGCCTGTTCCTAGAAAAAAAAACAAGAAATTCCGCTGCCTGTAACTATGACCAAAGAGTCACGACAGCGCCGCAAATCGTTAGATTGACGTGAACCCCGTAACGCGAAAACAGGGCAGGACGACAACTGCTGTTCCACCTGATTTATTGCTGTTTTGATGATGAATAAAAGACTTCTTGCTTGTTACACTGTTGTCACCTCATTCAATTTGTGTCCTAACATTTGTCGTCTCTTAGTATATTTCTGATCTAGGCCTCTTGTTTTTTAGGGCCCTTCTTGTTTTTTTTTCGCCCTCTCGCATTAGATTTAGGGTCTCCCAAGGACGTCATCCATAAAATTTACTTGGTGTGGCCTAAAAATAAAAACAGGTCTAGGCATCCTATTGTAGGCTTAAATGCTACAAAATGAGCCATGAAGTCAACACAAAAGGCTGGGTTAAAATTTAAACATTGAATTTTGAACTTTTAATCAAACCACTGCAACGATAGATGGGAAAACTGTAACAACTAGGAAGAAAAGGACTTTCCTCAACTGTTGGGGGGGCAAAACATAAGCATTTTTCAGTTGATTCGGGACCAGAATCAATTTTTTTTTTTTTTGCA